CGCGCCGTCGTGTTTGGCGGCGACGTGCCTCCCGACGACCCCGAGTTTGAGCACATCGCCCACCGGCAGCACGCGAGGCGCCCTCCCCGCCACCCCCTCCCCTCGCCGCGCCTCCCCCCGCCCGACCCCGTCGGCGCGTGGCAGGCACGTGTACGTCCTCGACCTCCCCACCCGCAGCTGGGCTCGCGTCGGCACGAGCGGCTCTGCGCCCAGCTGGCGCTCGCTCCACTCGGCCGCCGTCTTCCGCGCCGACGCCGCGATGCGCCGCGACGCGCTCGTCGTCCTCGGCGGGTCGGACGAGCACGTGCAGCCCTTCTCGTCGGGCCCGTGCGACGACTTTGAGCCTCGCGTCCTCTGCCTCACCACGTTCGAGTGGCACGGCCCGGCGGACCTCGACGAGCAGGGCGCGGGCGGCTCTTCCGGAAGCGAGCCGCCCGTGCGGTGGACGCCGGTGCCGCGCATGCGGTTCGCGGTCGGCGTGTACGGCCAGCGCCTCGTCGTCTACTCTGGGCACGGAGGCGTCCCTCTCCCGACGCGGGAGCTCCACCTGCTGCTCGACTTGCGCTCGCTGCGCTGGTCGAGGCTCACCCCGCGCAACCGCCCGTCCTCGCTCGCCAACACGCCCGCCGCCGCCATGAGCTGCGGCGTCATCGCCGGCGGCGTCCAGATGGGCTACTTTGGCATCCGGCCGTGCCCGAAGCTCGACGTGCTGCTCCTCGCCGAGCCGCCCGCCGACGGAGACCCAGCCGCCGACCCCGGCGCCGCGTGGGAGGGGGCGCCCCGGGCCGCGCCCGCCGGCGCTAGCGGAGCACGGCACGCGGAGGCGGCCAGCGGCGGTGACGACGACGACGACGAGGATGAAGACGACGACGACGACGACGACCGCGTCGTGCGCGTCAACGTGCAGAGCTCCGATGGCACGCAGCGCGAGTTGCTGCTGCCCCTCAGCTTCGTGGTAGCCTTCATGCGACAGCAGGAGTCGCAGCAAGGCGAGGGGGAGGCTGGCGGGGAGGGGACGTCGGAGGAAGAGGCTGGCGGGGAGGCGGCGGCGTCGGAGGAAGAGGTTGCGACCGCCTCCTCGGTTGGCGACGCGGCGGCGGACGCCTTTGCGGGTCTCATGAGAGATTTGGACTAGCTACAAGCCAGAGGGTCGGTTGGCGGTGGGGGAGCGGTCGGAGAACGTGGGCACAGTCCGTCGTGCGAGGCAGGTGGTGGTTAGTGCGTGTTGGCGACGGGCGGTCCTCAAAGATGTGAAGGTTTATGAAGCCCAACGCGCAACCGTCCTCTCACCTCTCCGTTACTCTAGACTCTACTCTTATGGTCTCTCTGTTCGGGAAACCTATATAGGCATACCGGGGCGCGGGGGGGAATTAGACACACCGACGCCCGACGAAGTGCCAAGAAGGACCTCATTAGTACGAAACCTCAGAAAGCCATGGGCGCCGAGAGAACCGATTCCCCGAAGAGGACAAAAGAAAAAGAAAAGGCTTCGCACCCTCTCCTTGCGCAGTGACCCTCGCTAACGGTGTCGCCGTTATCGGGGCACGCTATCCTGCGCAGGCAGGGCAAGCGGGGGAGGGGGGCAGTCCCCCTGGTCTGATACTGGGGTGTGGGTGTCTCCAGTCTCGGAGGGGGGCAAAAAGATAAGAATATCTAAAAAAAATTTAGACTCTACTCTTATGCGAAAGCGACCGTGTCGAGCTGCCTTGCTGCCTGCCGGACCCGCGTGGAGAGGCGTCGTGACTCGTTCGTGAGTATACTGAGTTACGTCTCTTACGAGAGACAGAGGCCGCGTCTCCCGTTTTGATCTCTCCCACGGTCAGTGGGCGCCCGCCCGCCGCCTCTGAGGGGGTCGGGCCCCCTAGTCTGAAAACAAAAACAAGCTCGAAAACAGCCAAAAGCAGCCTGCGAGAGAGGCACTGCGCGCCGCTCACCTCATGTGGGGATGTGTGCCGACACCAATACTGATCTAAAACCTGGAAACCCTGGTTCAAAGCCGACCCTGAGCGCCATCCTTCCTGCTCTCACCTCTATGCTTCCCCGCGCCGCCTCCTTGGCCCCCTTGGGCGTATTTTCTACTCCCAGTGGGGGAGGGCTCCCGGGCCCCCTCTTGTTTTCTGTTTTCTGGTTTTCAAAACGCCCGCCCGCCCGCCACCCCGAGGCGGCTCGGCCCCCCACTGACCGAGAGATCAAAACGGGACGGCCAGAGAAGGGACCGGTTTTAAGTTCGAGTGAGACGAGTGTCCACCTGTCCAGCGCGTGCATGGCCAGTGCGCGGCGAGATTCAGAGATAGTTCAGATAGAGTAATCCGTTCTTTAACAATTCGGAATTTACAGCAGGAACCGCCGCGTCTCGGTACGCGGTTGAAAAAGAAACGCGAGGCGCGTTTCTTTTGGTTCGCCCGGCGAGATTCAGAGATAGTTCAGATAGAGTAATCCGTTCTTTAACAATTCGGAATTTACAGCAGGAACCGCCGCGTCTCGGTACGCGGTTGAAAAAGAAACGTACGCGCGTTTCTTTTGGTTCGCCCACGCGCAGGCTCTGAGCAAGAGCAGCATGGTGTGTGGCTCGCGCGCCCTGCAGTCAACTCCGCCACGCGCCCTAGGCGTTCCCCTCGCGAAGGCGAACGGCCCTCTGAGGCCTGCGCCCGCGCCGCGCCAGGTGGCCGTCCCCGAGAGTCGGTGCGGAGCGACCCGTGGTCTCAGCCCACACCGGGTGCGGTGGCGCTTTTGGCGAATCATCTTTTACCACGCAAGACACCGGTTGCGGGGGGGGGGGGGGGGGGGGGATAAAGGCGTCCGTCCCACGTTGGGTTCAAAACGGCGAATGGCACTCTGTCCTTTGTTCTATATACGTTCGCGTATTGATAGTACCGAGCGCCGAAGCCCCCGCTGGGGATGGCTATGTCCTACGTATTACTCCTTCCGTGTTCATGCATTCGAGGGCGGCCCGCACGAGGGCGCCCTATGGCCCTCTTGTTTTCTGTTTTCTGGTTTTCAAAACGCCCGCCCGCCCGCCACCCCGAGGCGGCTCGGCCCCCCACTGACCGAGAGATCAAAACGGGACGGCCAGAGAAGGGACCGGTTTTAAGTTCGAGTGAGACGAGTGTCCACCTGTCCAGCGCGTGCATGGCCAGTGCGCGGCGAGATTCAGAGATAGTTCAGATAGAGTAATCCGTTCTTTAACAATTCGGAATTTACAGCAGGAACCGCCGCGTCTCGGTACGCGGTTGAAAAAGAAACGTACGCGCGTTTCTTTTGGTTCGCCCACGCGCAGGCTCTGAGCAAGAGCAGCATGGTGTGTGGCTCGCGCGCCCTGCAGTCAACTCCGCCACGCGCCCTAGGCGTTCCCCTCGCGAAGGCGAACGGCCCTCTGAGGCCTGCGCCCGCGCCGCGCCAGGTGGCCGTCCCCGAGAGTGTGCTCAAGAAGCGCAAGCGCCAGGAGAAGTGGGCCGCTGACAAGGCGGCCGCCACCTCTGCTGCTGAGACCAAGGCTGCCGCCAAGCGCAAGGACATCTTCAAGCGGGCCGAGGCGTACGTCGCTGAGTACCGCTCTGCCGAGCAGCAGCTCGTCACGATGAAGCGCGCCGCCCGGAAGGCTGGCACGTTCTACGTTGAGCCGGTCCGCGCCGCCAGCCGCGCCCAGCAGACCGCGCGCGCGCGCGACACCGTGCACTGTGTGCATACGGCCCCGCTCGGGGTGTGGCCGGGCGACCCACCCTCCGGCGGCGTGGCTGCCGCTGCTGAGGCGGGGCGCAGCGATTGCCGGCAGCGCCAGCACAGGGCGGAGAGGGGGACCGGCAGCAGCCTGTCGGTCGGCTCCCGCGCCGCTTGCCGACGAGCTTCAAACGCCGACCCCGGCGCGCTGCCTCGCCCACCTCAGGAGCACAAGCTGCTCTTTGTGATGCGGCTGCGCGGTATCAACGGGATGCACCCCAAGACGCGCAAGATCATGCAGGTCCTGCGGTTGCTGCAGATCAACAACGGCGTCTTCATGAAGGTCAACAAGGCGACGATGAACATGCTGGTCAAGGTGGACCCGTACATCATGTACGGCTACCCCAACCTGAAGACCGTCAAGGAGCTCGTCTACAAGCGCGGACACGCCAAGGCCCCCCCCCCCCCTTCTCCCGCCCAACCCCCCCCCCCCCTCCCCCTTCCCCCTCCACTACTCGCTCGCTCGGCCCGTCCCGGGCCTCTTGCCCCTGCCCGCGGTGCACGCGCGGCCGACTGGTCCTCCCCGCCCGACCGCCACGCCTCACGCGGCCTCCCCGCTCCCCCCGCTGCAGGTGAACGGCCAGCGCGTGCCCATCACCGACAACGAGATCATCGAGAAGGCGCTCGGCGAGAAGACCAAGGGCAAGATCATTTGCATTGAGGACCTCGTGCACGAGCTCTACACCGTGGGCCCGCACTTCAAGGAGTGCACCAAGTTCCTCTGGCCCTTCAAGATGAACTGCCCCGTCGGCGGCTTCTCACGCATCCGCAACCACTTTGTCGAGGGCGGCGACGCCGGCAACCGGGAGGAGTACGTGAACGAGCTCATCCGGCGCATGCTGTGAGGCGCCCCCCCTCAACCCCCTCCGCCAATCTGGACGCCGCCGGGCACGAGGCGCCACACGCCGGGCGCGCCGCACGCCGGGGGAGTGTGGCGTTTGTCTTGGGTACTAATGGCGCGTGGAGAGAGAGAGAGCGGCCGGGCGGCGGCCGCGCGTGATGGCGCCTCGTGTGCTGTGTGGAGCGTCCTCCTTGGCGGAGCGTCGATGATTAAACTTTGACTATTTTACGGGCTTCCCCGATCTATGAGACAAAACTCAATAACACTATCACTAACCGAACGAACTGCACAACTCTCAACTGGCCAGTGGCATGTTGTGCGAGTATATGGGACAAAAGCGTCGAAAATGTCCCAAAAAAGCGTGTCTCGAGTTTGTGGCAGCCCCACAGCCGGCGCGCGCTGCCAGGAAGCACCGCTCGAGTGTCGGCCGCACTCCCTGGCACCCAGTGAGTGCGGCCGACCGACCAGACCGATTAGGCTCGACGCCGCGCTCGCTGTGGGGCTGCCACAAAGTCGCCGCCGAGCGTGCCACCGACGGCGTCCTGGCGGAGGTGATGGAGTGTGAGACCTGAGGCTGCGGAGGTGACGCCTGAGGTACCGGCCCGTGCACAGCGACTCAGCCGGCGACCGCCACGGGCTCAGACGAGACTTGTCGACTCGTTCCGGCTCAGCTTCACCGTGGTCATCGGGCGTCTGTCGACGTCAGGACCACCCATACAGCTCGAGGGTTTGAGGTCGCAAGAGCCAAGATGGTGGCGTTTGGACATCCCAACCATCACACAAGACAGCCTGTAGGTGATGGCGGGACGGCGCAGTGTTTGTGGCACTCGGCAGTAGGCACCCGCGGCACGGCCCCGCTGTCGGCTCTCGCGGGCTGCAGAACCGGCCCCAGAAGGGGACGTTCCGGGCGAGTGTGGCAGCTCCTTCGCTAGTATGGGCACCCTCTATCATAGCACTACTGATCCTGGTCATTAGAGCTGCCAGGGATAGCGTCAGGAGCCGGTAGTAGTCAAAACCCCTCATATTTGAGACATCGTGTCCCATATACTCGCACAACATGCCCAGTTGAAGTGTGCGATAACTATCCTCTATCTCGAGAATAAACATTAAACTATAAAGAATGGTTTTAAAGATTAAAGACGAAACGACACTAACGAGCCGAAAGCCGCGAGAAACACACGGTGCCCAGTCGAGACGGCCCCGAGACCGAGAGCGGAGAGAGACCGGGGTCGCCCTGGCCAGCGCGAGAACATCACATCTCATGGACACACACACAAATCACACACACACACACATCGGCACCGAGACCGGACGCTAACCCGCCCCCTCACGCGCCAGCCAGTGCGAGGAAGCGAGAGAGGAACTCGCTCTCCAGATGCGTCGCCTTCGCGCTCGGCGCGAGCCCGGGCACAAACTCATTGATGTGCACGCCCGCGTTCGCCGCCGAGCCCTGCAGGGTCGTGAGCACCGACGCGAGCGGCACGGCGGTGGCGGCGAGCTGCTGCCCCTCGGGGAAGATGCCCCGCTGCTCCATCCCCGGCCGCGCGTGCTCGAGCAGCATCTCGCACGTGTAGAGCAGAATCCACGCCGCCCCGCCCCGCGCCCCGCCGCCCTTCTCGCCGCGGCCGATGGCGGTGACGGGGAGGATGCTGTCTTCGCTCGCCGACGCGTTGAAGCAGAAGTAGGTGTGCGCCCCAAAGGCGCGCGCCGCCTCGGCCTCCTCCGCCGCGTGCGCCTCGCCCGCGCGCGCGAGCCGCTCGACGGCGCCGAGCAGGCTCTCGACGTGCAGCGCTTGCGACATGTGGCAGAGCGGCGCAAAGTACGGGGCGGGCAGCGCGGTGAAGCGCGAGTCGTCCGCGCGCTCGCCGAGCGTCGGGTCGAGCGTGACCATGCCGAGGCCGTCGAGGGTGGCGGCCGCGAAGATCTCGCGCCCGCGCACCGGCTTGAGCACGAGCTCCGAGCCGGGGGCCGCTTGGTTGAGGGCCCGCGATCGCTCGAGCTTTCCCCGCGGAGGAGGCCAAAGACGAATGGTCTTGCCGTCCCGTGCCTGATCTCTCCGGGCACTCCCGAATTCAAAGTTAAATGGCAGCCTTCGGCACCTTTTTTTTAAGTTCCGCTGTTGCGAAATAATCTGCCCCTTCCCACCC